GCCTCCCAAAGTGCTGGGATTACATGCGTGGGTCACTGTGCCAGCCATGATCATCTCAATGGATGCCAAAAAATGCATTTGACCATTCAACACCCTTTTATGATTGAAAAATCAGCAAACTAGGAATAAGAGGATTTCAGCAAATGGTGCTGAATAATTGGATATCTACATGGAAAAAAATCAATTTGGCTCTATACCTCACAACATATACAACATTTTAAAATACAACTTTTTAAAAAATGTGATAAAGAGGTTGGGAGCAGTGGCTCACACCTGTAATCCTAGCTCTTTGGGAGGCCAAGGCGGGCAGATCACCTGAGGTCAGGAGTTCGAGATCAGCCTGGCCAACATGGTGAAACCCCCTCTCCATGAAAAATACAAAAGTTAGCTGGGTGTGGTGGCGGGCACCTGTAATCCCAGCTACTCAGGAGGCTGAGGCAGGAGAATCACTTGAACCTGGGAGGTGGAGGTTGCAGTGAGCCGAGATCGTGCCATTGCACTCCAGCCTGGGTGACAAGAGCGAAACTCTGTCTCAAAAAAAATAATAATAATAATAATAATAAAGAATGCCTTTTAAAGTCGGGTGGGGTGGCTCATGCCTATAATTCCATTATTTTGTGACACCAAGCAAGAGGACTGCCTGAGCTAGGAAACAGGAGATTAACCTGGGCAAAATAGTGACACCCACCATCTCCACTAAAAAAAAAAAATCAGCAGAGCGCGGTGACGTGTGCCTTTAGTCCCAGCTGGTCTCAAAATCCTAGGCTCAAGCAATTCTCTTGCCTTGGCCTCCCAAAGTGCTAGAATGAGGCACTGTGCCTGTCCTAAAATTATTTTAAATTTATTTTAAATATTTTAATTAATTAATTTTAATTTAAAAAAATTTTTTAGAGACAGGGTCTCATTTTGTCACCCAGTGGCACCATCATAGCTCACTGCAGCCTCAAACTCCTGGGCTCAAGGGATCTTCCTGCCTCAGCCTCCCAAGTAGCTGGGATTACAGGCCTGTACCACCATGCCTGGCCAGGTTTTTATTTTTAGTAGAAAAGGAGTCTCAGTTTGTTGTCCAGGGTGGTCTTTAACTCCTGGGCTCAAGCCATCCTCCCACCTCGGCCTCCCAAAGTGCTAGGACTGCAGGTGTGAGCCACTGAGCCTGGCCAAAAAAAATTGTTTCTTAAAGAGTCTTTTAAAAATTAAATAGTGGAATGAATGACTGACGACTCCACAGACCAAGCTCCAAGGACTGGGAAGGGGCGGACACAGTAAGGAAGAAGAGCTGAGGCTGCCCGCGGACTCTTCCTGCCTGCCATTTTGTTGCACAGGCCCAGCCTTGCCAGGCCAGCCCACGGTGTCCTGACCCCAGGGGCGCCTCCTTCCAGGCTTTTCCCTACACTGACTCACTTCTTTGTGAAATCACTTGGTGTTCCTTGTGCAGCCCCTGTGTTTTCCCACTTTCCTGCCTTCGCTCGAGCGGTTTTCCCACCATCTCAGCCAGTAAGAAGCCTGTTGGTCTCCTGTGGGAGGCTGGAGCTGGGGCCAGGTCGGCCTCGGGCTCCCACCCCACTCTGAGGTAAGGGGTCAGCGGGGCTGGGCAGGGCCCAGGCTAGGAGGAGGGAGGATGAGGTGCCCATGCCGGGCCTGCATACCCGCAAGGGACAAGTGAGCAGGGACTAAGTGAGTCCTGAAGATTTAACGGAGGGAACCCCTCACTGACCAGCCCCTGAGAACACCAGAGGCCTGACTTGCAAGGTATTTGTTCTCCGTCCCCAGCTTCCTTCACCTTCCCAACCTGCTCCACATTCAACTGATTTTCCCTCCTGTCCTCCAGCTCCCTGCAGGCTTCAGCTGCCTCTGCAGCGAGGCGGGGATGGAAGTACCTGCCCCTCAAGGTAGATGTGAAGGTCTGGGTCCTGGGCCTATGCAGGTAGTAGGTGTTCAAGGAATGGTCTGAATTGATGGGAGAGTGTTTTATAAGTTGAAAAACATTAGAAAAAGAATATTAGCTCTTATAATTGGTCCACTCAACTTCCTCAGATGGAGTTTGCCCCAAGCAAAACAAATTTTCCTCAACTCCATCCCATAAACTGCAAGCCCCCATAACTTCCCCTCTTCTTCTCCTTTCCAGGCTCACCCAAACTTGGCTTCCTCTGCCTGGGCACAAGCCTGGCAGGAAGTGACCAGCCTCCCATTAGCTCTTGCCCCAGGTCTGGGAGAGTTCACAGGCTGCTGAGCTGAGCTAAGAGCAGCAGCAGGAACTGAGGGTTTCCTTATCCTAGAAAAGCACCTCCTCCTCCTCCTCCCTTGCCCTCCAGACTCAAGGCAGGAAGAGAAACCTGGGGAAGGGGCCTCAGAGGAGAAGCCTCCATCGCGTATTTGTTTTGACTGGTCAGTGAGTGCCACACTATTTGAATGTCACCCTTGCCCCAAAGGGAAGAGCCTCTTTACCTGGCTCTCCCCACCTCCTCCACCTGCTCCAAACGTCTCTGGCACCGGGTGCCAGGGGACCTTGCGTTTGCTTCCAGGATTTGGGGGAAGTGAAGGGGTATGTGGAGGGAGGGGGTTGAGGGGACCCGGTGACACTGGCACACATTTCTTGTGCGGCAGACATCCCCAAAATGTCATTTGGCTCTCTGCTTGTTCCAACCCATATTTCATTTCCAGGGTACCTGCTCTGCATCACTTAGCTGATACCACAATGGAGAAATATCTTTCCTTCCTTCAGAAGGCACCTTCAGAACAGGGGCATGTCCAAGCAGACACACAGTCCAGTGTAGGGAGAAGTCTCAGAGATCTTTCCCAAAGGAGGGTACAGAACATGTGAAACAGTGTGATGGTGTAGCATGCATTTGGAGAACTGTAAGAAGTTCTATGAGGCCAGGGGAAAACAAGGATGAGACAGTGGCAAGAAATTAGTCTGGTGAGGTGGGCAGGGGCCAACTCACAAAAGGTATTGGGTACTCATCTAAGGAGGTGGAACCTCACCTAAAAGCTATGGGTAGGAAGAGAGCAAGAAATATTGCCAAGGACACCACAGGATTTGGGGGCCAGTGGTCAGATGAGAACTGATAAGTGACCTTTGGACTTGTCAATGTGATTGTCACTGGCTATTGACGGGAAGCACTGGAGGTGGAGTGGAGGGGAGACATGAACCCATAGTGACCCCATGGTATATATGGTTTTCTCTGGGCAGGCTCAGCTCTCACATAGGAGGGGATGAAAATGGATGGATTATCCCAGCACTTTGGGAGGCCGAGGTGGGCAGATCACGAGGTCAAGAGATCAAAACCATCCTGGCCAACATGGTGAAAGCCTGTCTCCACTAAAAATACAAAAATTAGCTGGCTGTGGTGGCATGCGCCTGTAGTCCCAGCTACTCAGGAGGCTGAGACAGGAGAACTGCTTGAACCCAGGAGGTGGAGATGCAGTGAGCCAAGATTGCGCCACTACCCCCCAGCCTGGTGATAGAGCAAGACTTCATCTCAGAAAAAAAAAAAAAAGATGGATTAATTCAGGTCTGGGATTCTGAGGGAGACTACACTGGAAGGACATGGGGACAAGAAAGATGGAGTAATTAATGGTGAATGAGTGATGAAGTCACGGGCATGGGTCTTGATGTGGCACTGGCTGATAGAGTTTGGTGGCCAGAGTGGGATAACCCTTTTTTTGGAGACAGAGTCTCACTCTGGCTTCCAGGCTGGAGTGCAGTGGCACGATCTTGGCTCACTGCAACCTCCGCCTCCTGGGTTCAAGCAATTCTCGTGTCTCAGCCTCCCGAGTAGCTGAGATTACAGGCATGCACCACCACACTCTGCTAATTTTTTTGTATTTTTAGTAGAGATGGGATTTTGCCATGTTGGCCAAGCTGGTCTCAAACTCCCAAGCTCAAATGATCCACCTGCCTTGGCCTCCCGAAGTGCTGGGATTACAGGTGTGAGCCACCATGCCCAGCCAGGATAACCATTTTTTAAAAAAGATTTTCAATAGAAACAGAGCAGCTATTTACAGCATGGCCAGTGATCTGTATTTTCCACTTAGAGTTCCAAATTAGAATACTGGTGAAATCCCTTCTCATTGTGTCTATTTCTAAATCTGTGAAACAGAGGATTGGACTAGATGATCCCTAAAATCCTTCCTGCTCTATCATGCAAGGATTCACTGCTATTGCTTTATCTGCATCCTCTTCACACCTACCTAAGCATAATGGCCACCCATCTGCCCTCAATAGATGTTTGTGGAGTACCTGATGGTCTCTCTCTCTCACACAAGAACCCTGTGAGCATCTAGGCCCATCACCAGTGCCTGTTTATTGAGTGATGGCGATGTCATGAGGAAGTCCCTCCCTCCACCTCCCTTGCAACCCTTCCTGTGAGGTGTGTAGGGAACAGGTGCACATCTAGCCTTCATTCGCCCCTCGCCACCTTCAATTTCTCCTTGCCCTGGTCCTTCTTACAGTCTGAAGTGACCAAGAAAGAACTGCCAAGTGGGCAGGTTCTGGCGAGCCAGACCCCCATGTTGAACTGCAGTTCTATTACCTTGGATATGTTACTTAACTTCCACATTTTCTTCTAAACGTTTATATGAGTCTTTTTTCATATTCGTGAATTTATTTTCATATGGTGTGTGAGGTAGGGATTTTTTTAGACGGAGTCTTGCTCTGTTGCCCAGGTTAGAGTGCAGTGGTGTGATCTCGGCTCACTGCAACCTCCGCCTTCCAGGTTCAAGCGATTCTCCTGCCTCAGTCTCGTGAGTAGCTGGAATTACAGGCACCCACCACCATGCCCAGCTAATTTTTGTATTTTTCGTAGAGATGGGGTTTAACCATGTTGGCCGGGCTGCTCTTGAATTCCTGACCTCAGGTGATCTGGCCTCCCAAAGTGCTAGGATTACAAGCGTGAGCCACTGTGCCTTTTTTTTTGGTCAGGTCTCCCTCTGTGTCCTAGGCTGGAGTGCACTAGTGCAATCATAGCTTACTGTAGCCCCCTGCTTCTGGGCCCAAGCAATCCTCCTGCCTCTGCCTCCCAAAGCACTGGGATTACAGGTGTGAGCCACTGTGCCTGGCCGCTATATCATTTTTTCCTGTTTGGTTAATTGATAGTCCCAACACCACTTGCTAAAGATCTCTTCCTTTCCCCACTCAGGTGCCTCACTGAGGAACCCACTCATGGTTCCTCTGGCTCCTACCATATTCCCATGTATGCACAGGTCTGTTTTTTGGTCCCCTGCTCACTTTTATTGTCTAATTGACTTCTATTTCTATCCAGCTATTCCATTTATCACATTTAGTTACTGTATCTTTATATTAAGTCTTGATACTGATTGAACACAGGACTTCCATTGTAGTCCTGTGTTTTCCCTGGCAGTTTCTCCAAATTGTCTTAGACATCCTTGGTGCTTTACCCTGTGGTTTTTAGACAAGTTTGTCTAGGTCTTTTAGAAAACAGTTAGCTTCCCTAAGCCTCCATTTCCTTTACCATGACCTATGCCTCACAGGACTGCAAAGATTAAGTGTAAAACAGTGAACACCACCTGGCCAAGAACACAAGAAACACTGAGTAGATAGTATCATCTTCCCCAAATGCCCAACCTGATGCAGTCACTGTTCTGTTAAAAACATTGTTGGCTTCCCAGGCATGCAGAGTAAAGTTCAAACACAGCCTGCTAAGCCACCTGACCCCAGCTAACCTTTCCCATGGCACCACCTGCCTCTCCCTCCTCCCTGCCCACTATCCCTATCATGTTCCCTGAACACAGTGCTCTGCCCTCGAACATGCTGTCCCTTCACGCTGGGATCCCACGCATCCCTCATGGATCCTCTCAGACAATGCCTCCTTTGAGGAGTTAGGCACTCCCTCGGGCTTCTTGTATTGCATGTATCGCTTTGCATTGTGATTACTTGCGTCTGTTGTGACTTTGTGTCTTATCTAGTGAACTCAGCACAGGCCTTGGCATTTCCAAAGAGGTGCCATCATTTGATAATCACACCCTGACTTTGGTGTCACACACACTCCTTCACTTATTTAACACAATAATCCTGCGAAGTAGACTTCTCCCCCACTGAACAGGAGGGAGCAGGGATGGTAATTTGTTCAAGATCAAAGAGCTTGTCAACAGAGGAGCAGAGACCTGCATCCTGGGCTAATTCCCAACATTTGTATCTTCTATTACAGCAGGCAGCCTTCGGATGACTGTCCTTCTTCCCTTTTCTCAATTTCTTATCTCCATCTCATCCTTCCATGGTCCTCCCACCTGAGCTCTCTCTGATATTGGTCCTTTCTACTTCACCCCCCACCCGAGACTTACTTTTCCCAGGTTGTCACCTCTCCCATTTCATGCCATCTGTCACCCAAGCAGGTGCCTCTGTGAGGACTGTGTGTCCTAGGTTTAGCACATTGCTGGTATTCAGAACATAGAACATGGAACCTCATGGCTACATCCTCAGATGTTGAGATGTTAGCTTGGTGTCACAAGATCAAGGATATAAAATAAATCCTTCACAGCCTCAATCTGTTGGAAACCAGAAAGCAAGCAAAGCCATGGCTTGTAACACCAGGCTTTCTTGGAACAGTTATCAGGTGTCCAGAGATGGAAGCCACCCTGACTGGGGATGAGCAGTTATTCTACCAACTCAAACTGGCCTAGACGGTCAGTGCTACCACCCGGCATGTCAACAAAGGATGGAGGAAGTGCAGTGCTGGTCCTCACAATGACAGGAGCTGCAATGGTGTCCTCAGGGCTGATTTTCTCTCTCCACCCATGTCCGAAGTTTTGGGGCGTCTCTTTAGAGTTCTTTCTCTCTAGCCACAAGTCCTGCAGGCCATTGGAAGACTAGGCTGCAGAAAGGTAATCCTGAACTTTGCAAATGAAATAGAATCAAGTAGTAAATGTGATGATGGATCAGCTTTAGAATGGTCCATAATGATCTGACATGGGCGAGTGGGGAGTTTCCAGAACACTCAAATCCCAATTAGAGGTGGCCAGTTGGTGGTTTCCTGAGTACATCACCTGTATCAGCATGTATGAGCTCACAGCCTCATCATACACACTAAATCTGGCAAAAGGAAGAATCCTTTGATGGAGGAATGAAGGGTGATCATCATGGAATGGACAAAGGAAGTCTGCAGAATCAGAATTTTAGGGGGAGAGTTCTCTGACCAACTGAAAGGGAATTCGTCTTGTGGTAGAATGGTCAACAGGTTATTATTATTGCTCAGTAACCCACTTTCTGCCTAGTTTTGGCCTCCCATACAGCCAGCCAGTACACAAACCAGGTAACTTTGATGTTTACCATCATATAAATGAACCGATTAGCATCTGGGCATATACATTAGTCTCTTACGAGTTAGATTTGTGTGAGTCTTGTTCCTGGAAGCGACTCTCTTCCACTGACCCCATCAGGTTTCTTGGCTTAAAATACTTGACCAGTGGTGATGCCAACAAAGTCCCATCCTAGAGAAGCCAGCTTGTCTTGGCGGATGGGTGTTTCTCTGTGATATGCTGTTCATTCTTGTTTCTATATCTCCCACTGCATTTCCAGGGAACTCCTTGAGTCTGCAGAGCCTCATGCATGGTATCACAACGGCTTCCAGACTGTTCCACTCCAAACTCTCCTGCTGGCTCCTCCTCAGACATGGTTGATACCACATGACTGCCCTGTTCAGGAACACGCCCATGCATAAAACAAAACTCTCTGGACTGGCTTTTGTGGTTTTCCATAATTTGATCTCATCAGACTTTATTTTCCATTACAGCTCAAACTGTTCCTTCCATTTTGGGACCAGGGGACAGAGTTCACTTAATGCTGCTCTCCCACTAAAGACACTCACCCATTCTCTGCCTGCAAGCCCTACCACTACACAACTTCAAAAATGGCTCCACCCTTCCTGATTCCACCCCACACAGAGGAAAGCAACTTCTTGCGACGCTTCCTTATTCTGGAAATGGCTTACCTCTTTCCCCTTCCAGCTCCTTTGTGCCCCCTAGAAAGCCTCCCTGGCTAAGGGGGACAGGCCCTCTCCTCAGCACTGGGCACTGACCGTCTAACCAGGGCTCTCTGGGCACCTGGTTGCAAGGATGGCAAGATACAACAACATGCTGATTTTAATAGCCTCTGGCTTCTCCACTGCATTTCTCACCTGAATGCCCTGCACACCAAATCTTCCATGGGATCACCCTTGACCTCTAGGGCAATTCCCATGAATCCAGCAGAGGAGTGGGGGAGACCAAAAGACTGACATGAAGGACTCAAGGGAAACCTCTGGAAAGAAGACACCAGACACTAAAAGGGATATGTGTGAAATACTGGTTTTTATTGGTTGGCACAAGATTACAACCTACAGTTTCAATGCCCTTCCCTCCCACACAGCTCAAATGGAAGGAAACTGATTAACACATAGAAAGGAATGGCAGGCTCACAGGTTTAAGCATTTGTTTTTACAAAAAGGAGTGGAATATGGGGGTGGTCAAGTTTTACGGGTAGTAACAACATTCTCTCCAGGTGGCAGGGGGTAAGTCTGCCTGTCCTCCATTGCTGATACCACATAAGGGACATATTAGTAAAGTAGGGAAAGGGTTATATGTGTGGCTGGCCTGTTCTTAAGAGAGGAAGGTGGGATAGTATCTGCTGTGTGCCTGTCTCAGACCAAACCTGGGGCTGAACCAGTGCCCCTTTCTTCTGAGCCCTCCTCCACAACCTGACAGTACTGCCAGCCGCACCCATGGGAAGGAGGTGTGAAGGAAGCCTGAGAACATCCGCCTCGAGAAAAGGAAACAGGAAAACTATTTCCTTCCGCCTTCTCTGGACCAAATTCCACTCCCCTCAGCTCCAGAGAGCGCTGCAAAAATCTTCCTTAGGAACGCTGTGAAGACACGGGGAAAAGGCCAGCCCAGACAGGTAGTCCTGAGCGGGCAAGAAGAAAAGCTTGAACTTTCCATGCAGTACCAAGCAAGATTGTTTTGGAAACACGCAAACAAAAAATGGAAACCAACACCATATACCCACAGGTTGGGTAGCTCCCAAATCCCAGACAGCATTTGGATTGGAGGTAAGGACAATTTTACTCCAGCTCCTTGTTTTATAACCCACACCAGGTGCCAAGAGGTTTAAGGACCAAAACTGACCTCTCTTTCCCTACAAGCACCATTCCTTGGATTCCCAGTTTTGTTGAGCTCATTTGGGGTCATCCTTGCCATCCTCTTCAAAAATGATGCAGCCTCTTGGTGGTTCCATTTGCTATCCCTTTCTACAATTATGAACACACTGTCTAAACAGGAGATCTATATATGCTGTCACCCTGCAGCCCAAGAGATTAGGTGATCTAACGATAAGAAGGCCAGCTTACTTGCTTTCCCGGGTGGTCCTGATGGAAATGAACAGCAGCAGAGTTCTGGTGGGACAGAGCAGTCTAGTCGGAGCCACTGTGTGATTCCCCAGGGGACTGGTCCCTGGGTACATGGGTCCCTGGCTCTGTCTCAGTTCCAGAGACATTACTCAACTTGGCCTTTTAAGCCTCAGCTAAAACATATGAGCATGAGGGAAAAGGGACAAGAAATACTTTTGTCCTCTGGAAAAACGTAAACGCAATACATTTTGGCTACTTAGGCTCAAGCCACACGGTTCCCTGGAAACACTTGTTGAACCTGGCCAAGAGGAGACTGTATATGGATGGCACACCTGGAAAAGGGGAGAAAGCACACTAGTTCATCTCTTTTATAAGTGGAATGGTCCCAGGGATGTTAACCTTTCTGATGCTGATGGTAGATGAGTGGAGTGGAGGTAATCCTGTGAGAAAACTCCTTAAAAACCCTTAAGCTGTGTGGAGACTACACATCACAGCTGAGCAAACCAAGGTGGGGCCTCACTGCCTCCTCAGAGCCCATCCCTGACCATGTCATTGGATAGGATGGAAGACAAAGTCTTTGAAATGGAGGCTGGGCTGGCAAAAGTAAGTATGAAGATGCTACTACTGTCCTTCCACTTCCTCTCTCTGATACACCTAAGAAGGCGAGAGACACTTACTTCAATTCCATTTTACAATAGTTCTTAACATCCTGAAATACTCTTGACTTCCTTAATTCAGCACAGGGAAAACTGGTAAGCTATCTTTCTAACTGAAATTTGACTTATTCTAACCACCAACCTTTTCTTTGATTATCAACCAGTTTGATAGTCTTCAGATCATAAAACAATAGAACAGACCTGACATTTACAAAACTGTACTACTTACTTCTTTTACAGTAGAGTTGACCAATCACTTTTCTAACTACTAATGCAACACCATGCCACTGGGCCCTGGACTCTGATGTTTCTGATCCCTGAGCAACACATCTATGTCCATTCACAGATGGAAGTGAAAGGGTGAGATTCTCAGAGTCTAAACAAAATTCTGGTAGCAAATTGGATTTCTGAAGGGAGAGTCCTCTTAGAAAATTCTGAGCAAAAATGCTCTCAGTCACCAGGGACGGGGTGAGTGGGCAGGTTTCCGTCTGTGAGCTATAGCTCAGGTACCTGTTACTCCCTTCGGAACTCCACGTTCTTGGGAACAAGCCTCTTGTTCATTAAGCAAAGGCCCTCCAAGTCTCCTTTCTCCTTCAGCACTTTGGAAACTCTCCAAGACTTAACTTCAGATCTGGGGAGGTTCTATGTAGAACAGACCTATCCCTTCTTATTCCTGCTCCTGGGTGTCTCCATAATCAGCTTCTACGTTCCCTGGCATAAGTCGTATCTGTTATGCTGCAGGAACTGAGTAACCAAAGCTAGATATCCTTTGGACCACTGATTAGTGACACATTTTCTCCACAACAAAGGGAGGTTAAAGACCAAGGTTTAACCTGAGAAACTTTTTTTTTGGCAAGACAATAAAGAGGTTAAAGAGGCTATGTGGATCTGTCACTGCTTTAGCTTACCATTTTCAATTTAGCACCAAAGTGCTCAGGAAGACAGGCTCAGATCAGGACGACTTCTTAAAAGGGATTCACAGGCAATCTTACTGGCAAAATGATTTTCCAAAGCTGAGCCACTTGCCCCACCCTACAGGGAGGGGAGTAGAGTCTTAAGGCCCAGCATTGGCATTGAGGCATCTTCCTTTTTTCTCTCAGAATTCCACAAAGGCTTAAGAGTGATCTAAATGCCTGGCTGGAAGCTCAAGTCTAGGAGAGCTAATTTACTGCACTGTTGAGATATTCTCTGCAAGGTAGTCACAGATAATAAGCAATTGAGTAGATAATTAATCCAGACAAGAATTAATGTTCTCTGAATCAGTGATTAATGTAATCTTCACATCTGGTCTGGCTGGGAGGCTTGGCGGCAGGAAAGGGACGGTGGAAGAATGGGTAGTACATCCAAATGGTGATGAACAAAATGACAATGCTGCTGTTTTTGTATCCTTTAAAGCCTCTATCCAGGGTTTTAAATGGCGCTTTTTTTGTCTGCTTCCTGATAGGAAGTCAAATAAGTTTTAGTAGTAAGAACTGGGGATAAAAACGAAAGGAAACCTAGAGTTATTAAACAACTGACTGCTGGAGGAACAGAAGCAATGACTTCTTTCTACCTTCTAGGTAGTAATCTTACTTTTTTGGCTAAAAGCACTTTCTTCAGCATTCTGAGTTAACATGGGTTCCCTATAAGCTCCCCTCCCCAGGTGGACAGTCTTATTTTCTAAGACAAGCTCAAACTCACCAAATTATCACCGTAAACAAAGCTTCAGGGAAGAGACATAACTCTTACTTCAAAAGCTTCAGGTCAGAGACATCCAAAATCACATGACTGCTAGCCTCAGCTCAAGTAGTGTGCCCAAATCATCACAAAATGGGATTCTCTTCCTATTAATTTTTTTTTTTTTTTGAGACAGAGTCTTGCTCTGTCACCTAGGCTGGAGTGCAGTGGCGGGATCTCGGCTCACTGCAACATCTGCCTCCCAGGTTCAAGCGATTCTCCTGCCTCAGCCTCCCGAGTAGCTGGGACTATAGGAGTGTGTCACCATGCCTGGCTAATTTTGCTATTTTTAGTAGAGACGGGGTTTCACCATACTGGTCAGGCTGGTCTTGAACTCCTGACCTTGTGATCCACCCACCTTGGCCTCCCAAAGTGCTGGGATTACAGGCGTGAACCACCGTGCCTGGTCCTCCATTTATTAATTTATAAGGGGACTAGGAGGACAAACTATTTGATTAATTTGAAGGTGAGAGGTATCATTTTCTCAGATGCTCCAACTAGGCTTCTCACATCCCTCAAAGGTTATCAGCTAAAGACAAGAGTTTCTGAGGCTAATGCAAAAACATGGTCAAATGTGAAACCACCCTTTTAGAGGCAGGGTTTGTGAAAGGCTGCTGGCCTCCAAAGGACAGCATGCCTAAACTCTCTGGGCTCCCAGGACCTGTGGTGATCTCAAGTCAACCTGATGCACAGATAACAGTATCTTTTAGGGATTGCAGCCAATGCTCCCCAATTCACTTTTTTTTGTTTTAATACCTTAAAATATCAAGTGTTTCATTTTTAGGTGATATTCCAAGTGACACAGAAACACAGCTCTCCTGAATGAAGTCTCCGCTGCAAAACTCACCAAACAGCACAGAGGATGACTCTGGGGTCCTCTCCCACTTGCTCCAAGTTAGGTGGGTGCCCTGATGAAGGCAAGGCTGAGTCACTAACATGCACAGCTCCACATCCTGGAAGCCTCTGGAGCCTCGAGGAGACAGGCTCTATCCAACAGGACTCCGAATAAATGACTGCCACCTCAACTGGGCAGTCTGACCTCTTCCACCGTCTTTAAGAAACAGAAGGGCCATCTGCATTATTTAATCACCATTCAATAATGTCCTCCCTCCCCACAGCTGCTTGAGTTAACTGTCTCACAAGTGTCCTATGTTTTGTAAAGATGAGGGTTATTTTCTGAAATGCAGATGAGACTAGGATAAAGCTGTATTATCAATTACAGCCAACTCTCATTTCTCTTAAAGCAAAAATTCATCCCACTGTGATTTCTCCAGGTATTTCCTTCAATTCTAAATCCACCCTTGATATTAGAGAATATTAAAATCACACAGTTGTGGCAAAAATCACAATGTGGCTATTAAATCCTTTTTGTGAACTAAAAAATGTGCATGTGACTTAGGCTCAGCTGGTTTTTTTTTTTTTTAAAAAAAGATGAGGATGGGGACTCCAACAAAGGCATTAAGAAAGTACTAGATGAAATGAGAAATAGGTGAAGGATAACATGTGAAACGTACACTCAGGTCTAACAAGTACCTATTACTTCTCTGGTTAAGAAGGTTTAGCAGGAGCCCCCAATGAGCACTGTATGTAGAGAAAAGGGAAGGAGCAGGGGGAGGAATGGATCGGCACAGAATTTTTTTCTTCTTTTAAAAACCACAGAGGGTGACTTTTTTCTTCTAAGCAAGCAAGCCTAAGAGATAATACATGGGCTGACTCCTAATATCAAAACAAAATATTGCTTTGCCACAAAGGAACTTGACTATGTAGCAACACATTTACAAAACTACTGCAAAACACTCCCAGAGGGCAGTGACCTACTCTGCTCCCCAGAGGCTACAAGAAGCAAGGCCTCAAGTGCCTCACGTTCCATGGGGCTGTGCAGCGCAATGCAGAAGGCGGAAATCCTGCTGTGACACCACCCTCGAGACCTTCTGCAGCCTGAGAGGCAGTGATACTCCCACACCCTTTGATCCTTCCAGATGGCTCAGCCTAGACCTAGCAGTGAGAGAGCCCTCTCCATGCAGGGCGGATGGAGTGGTGGACACTTGCAAAAACAAAACAGTCAATTCACTAACTGTTCCATCCTGTTATATTTGCAATGAGGAAAATTAAGATTCCTGTTTCATGGGCTGCACTGTTTCTGGAAGGCTACAGAAAATCTAACATGGTTGACACCTCCTGGTAGCCCTTCTGTCCTCCTACACACACACACACACACACACACACACATATACACACAGAGACAGAAGAGAGGAGAAAATCCTGGTCCAAAAGACCACATGACCTTACTAGTGTTTCCCCAATGATTATAATTTATAAACTAAAAAATTTTTAAAATTCACTGCTATCTTTTTATGTCCTGAGTTTGGTAGACTTTAATGGATGCTCTAGCAATAACCAGAATCTAGGACATGCAAATTCACTGTGAGCAAGAGGCTAGGTTTCTGCCCTAAACATAGGAATCTGTTTCCACCAAGTCTGAATGAGGTCAGCACTGGCAGAATTAATGACAAATCAGTGTCAATGAAATATTCTGCAAACAGGGTAGTTTTTGTGCTTTCTTTTGATTCTTTTCTTTGGGGAGATAAAGGTATTGCAACCATGGGTCTAATGTATCACTAAAGGACTGTGATGATATTCTCAGTAAAGACAGCCATGGTGTTTACAGTGCCAGGGAGGGAAAATCCCAGATCATCAGAATCCCAGTGCAACAGAAAACAGCACCAGTTTCAACAATTCTGATGTTGGACAAAGCCTCTTTTTGTCAGTTAAGAAAGCATAAGCACAGTGTCTCAGTTAATTGCATTAACAGGAATCCATTCATGTCACTGAAAAATACTTGTTGGCACAGTTCACTTTCCTGACCCAAAGACACCAACAACAATCAAAACTGCCCTTTCAGGGTAGTATATTATTACACTAGCCCAGTCAAAACACACTCAGACCATTAACAAATGTATACATTACTGTTAGCACTGCAGGTCTGTTTTATTTTCTAATTTATTTATTGAGACAGAGTCTCGATCTGTCACCTAGGCTGGAGTGCAGTGGCATGATCTTGACTCACTGCAACCTCCGCCCCCCAGGAAGGTTTAAGTGATTCTCATGCCTCAGCCTCCCAAGTAGCTGGGATTACAGGCGTGCACCATCACGTCCAGCTAATTTTTGTATTTGAGAAGAGACAGGGTTTTGCCATGTTGGCCAGGCTGGTCTCAAACTCCTGTCCTCAAGTGACCCACCTGCCTTGGCCTCCCAAAGTGCTGGGATTACAGGTGTGAACCGCTATGCCCGGCCCTGCAGTTCCTTTTTTAAAAGAGTATTGACTGTTTTCCTGCAAAGGACTTTCAAATCCATACCATAAAAGTAGTATTTATCTGGAAGAATGTGTTTCTTGAATTCCACTTAGCACTTGGTTAAATCTACTTTATTTTGCTCTTTATTTGAACAGAACTTTAGAATGCTCTAGGTCAGGATAAGAAACAGTGTGTTCGTTTTTAAGAAGGGTATGTGAATAGGAAGTTGGCATTCAGACTCAAGTTCCACAGTGTTGTTCTTCTCCAATGGGACCTCTCCTTGGGGATATAATTCCTTTCCCAGAGGTATCATGGTATCCCAAGAATACAACTGCTCTTTGGCTCTGTGTTTCAAGATTGGGAGAGAGGATGTAAACTAAGAGTACACAGCAATTTTTTTTTCTTTTTTGAGATGGAGTTTCAGACTCTTGTTGCCCAGGCAGGACGACAGTGGTGCAATCTCGGCTCACTGCAACCTCTGCCTCCCAGGTTCAAGCGATTATCTCGCCTCAGTCTCACAAGTAGCTAGGATTATAGGCGCCCACCACGCCCAGTTAATTTTTATATTTTTAGTAGAGACAGGGGTTTCACCATGTTGGCCAGGCTGGTCTCAAACCTCTGACCTCAGATGATCCGCCTGCCTTGGCCTCCCAAAGTGCTGGGATTACAGGTGTGAGCCACCATGCCTGGTGAGTAGACAACAAAATTTAAAGTTCACCAACTGATGTTCCCAAAAGTGCTGAACACTAAATGACACAGGCCTATGAGGTACATACATTTCTTTTAGTAGGAGGGAAAAGTAAAAGTTTTTCAAAGTTTGAGTGCTTTATTAGAATTTTTAAATAAGGAGAACTACGATTTTAATTTCACATCTTGGCTAAGGAGATGACACTGGGGTACAGAGATAATCTCTTGTTCTAAGCCAGGGATCAGTGTACTCCTCCCTATCCCTCAATCTCAAGACCCTCTTACTTCCGAACTAAACAACACAATTGGCAAATGAAGTCAGCACGAAACCTGTATCAAAAAACAACAAGAGTCTGCAGTGAGCCAGTGTATTATGTAACCACTGTAATAAGTGATTACGTGGCTTCCCATATGGACCTTTCATATCCTGGTGGGAGATGGGAGACCAATTTAATAGCTCTGAGCATGCTTCATGGTGCAATCACAAGTGCCGTGCCATTACAAAGACAAGCAAGCAGGTGAATTTCCCCAGTGTACTTTTCAGGAACACGGTTACCCAGTTCGGGGACGGGACTACATTGATGCACCTGCAAAGTACAGTTGGATGCTTCAGAGCACAAGGACAATATCCAGGTCAGCACGTGTAAGGCATATACGGACACAAAGAGAGGTCGTTGTCGGTAATAAGTAGCATTACGGAAAAGATTCCAAACCAGCAGGATAGAAATGGTACCTGATGCTCCAGTTTTTTAGATAAGCAATCCCACGAATCCAGTTCAAACCCTACTGTCAACATGTGGGGCAGAATTCAATTGCTATCATTGTTTTTACAGATCTGGGCTGAGACATTTGTTCCTAGCTTGGTTAAAAAAAATAATAATAAAATAAAGGTTTCTTCCTGTTTCTTTCTTGGTATGGAAATACAGCTTAAAGAAGGAAAGACCATTAGTCCTGGGAGCACTATGAAGGTAGCTAAACACTTCCCATACCTACAGTCAACGACTGGGAACTAGAGAGAGGACAGGGCAACCTGCCCAGCCACTAGCATCAAAAACGAAAAGGTATATTAATTGTGAGGCTCTCAATTCCAGAAATGCCCAAATTAAAAGAGAAAAAAATCTTGAAAAATTAAACAAATTTCTCTTTCTACAAGTCATTTATTTACATATTATATGTCCGATATATAATGTGTAGATAAATGTATCCTGCAGTGGAAGTGACCACTCTACTGAACTGTACAGCATATTATAGGACAAATTCTTGAAAGATTTCATCTTATACTGGTATCTTTTAATAAAAAAAAATTAAAAATCAAAGAAAACGTCTGGCCAGGGCTAGGATAAGACAAACAGGAACACTTCAGAATCCAGGGCAGGGGAAGGCTGTTGGCCTCTCTTCAGAGGACTGCAGGGGTAGGAAGAGGAAGGGACAGATCATGCACAAAAGTACTTACAAATTACACACCCAACCCCCACCCCACAATAAAAAGAGAAGAAAAAGCCCCATCACTTAACACCAAACAGCAACATTATCAATACACCCTTTCTTTGCTGCCCACCATGCCTTATTTGAAAGAAGAGGCCTGTGAGGAGAAGTGGAAAGAGCCAGGGTGAGAGGGAAGATTTGCATTTCAGTCTAGTTTCCAATTTCCATTTCTCTTACAGGAAGTCTTCAGTCATCTGATGCCTGACATCGAGCTCTGAGCAGAAACCGAGTATGTGGTGGCCACGACTGGGGTGCCATTGTTGGCTGAGTAGCCTTGCCTCAATGTTTCAAAATACGATGCCTGCACGGGTTTGTGATACTGCAGCACTTTTATGGCATCTTCTATTTTAAACCATTCCCTCTTCCTTCCTGTGGAGGCAGAGAGAAAAGAAACTAGTACAAGAGCAATAAGGTTTCTGAGCCTAGACCTTTTGAGAAAATGTAGAAAACGTTAAAGCAATGTTTCTTAATACTTTTTTTCCTTATAAAAGTAACTCAAGCGCACTTCGTATGCTTCAAATATTATACAAATGTCTAATGTAGAAAATAGGCGAGAAACCTGAAAACTGAAGAGCTAAGAGTAATTGTGTAAAACCTGCCCTCCAGAGAGAACTATGGCTAGTGTTTTCCTCCTGCCCTCCTGGGTCTCTGAGCTTTCCTTGCTTGCACATACATAGGGATCAAAGCCCAGCAGCATCCCCATCTCTTGTAAAAAACTGACATGAGGGCCTGACGAGGTGGCTCATGCCTATAATCCCAGCACTTTGGGAGGCTAAGGTGGGCGGATCGCTTGAGCCCAGGAGTTTGAGACCAGCCTGAGCAACATGGCAAACTTGTCTCTACAAAAAATACAAAAATTAGCTGGGCATGGTGGCACAAGCCTGTAGTTCCAGCTACCCAGGAGGCTGAGGTGGGAGGATCACCCTAGCCCGGGAAGTTGAGGCTGCAGTGAGCTGTGATTGCGCCACTGCACTCCGGCAGGATGACAGAGTGACACCCTGATCCAAGCAGGGGGAAAAAGAAAATCAACACAAACATCAGCTTCCAGAATTACTAGGATGGCTGGTTTGTAATCACTAATTTATTTAAAAGTTTTCTTATAAGAGTGAATGTATTGACATAATAGAAAAAAAATTTTTACATATATATATATATATATAGAGAGAGAGAGAGAGAGAGAGAGAGAGAGACGGAGTCCTGCTCTGTCGCCCAGGCTGGAGTGCAGTGGCCTCCCGGGTTCATGTCATTCTCCTGCCTCAGCCTCCCAAGTAGCTGGGACTGCAGGCGCTCGTCACCACTCCTGGCTAATTTTTTGTATTTTTAGTAGAAATGGGGTTTCACCATGTTAGCCAGGATGGTCTCGATCTCCTGACCTCGTGATTTGTCCACCTCGGCCTCCCAAAGTACTGGGATCATAGGCGTGAGCCACCACCCCAGCCAGAAAATATTTTTTAAAATAAGAAAAAACAATCTCAATACAATCACACTTTTATTTTTCAGTTTATTTTCTTACTCTTTTCTAGTCCACGCTTTAGAATCCTTTATATTTTTTCTCTTATAAAAGTAATAAGTACCCATAATTTTGTAAACCAGAGAAGACCACTCTCAATACCCTAGCACAATTGCCTTTTTTGCATATACTTGAAAAAGAAACAATCTTGAGATAACTGAAACTGGATCATGCTTTCAGGTGCTCCGAATCCTGACCAGCTCTGCTAGAGTGTTATGGGCAGGAACACGGACTCCGAAGCCAAAGTGCTGGGCTCCAATCACATAAATGGCTCCAATGAGCTGTGCAGCCTCAGATAGCTGTGCTCCTGTTCCATTTTCCTCATCTATAAAACAGACAATAAATAGGGCCTATCTCACAAGTTTGTTGTGACGATTAGTATGCAAAGCACCTGAAGAGTACCTGGCTGCTAAAAGTATGTACTACTGAATTTGCTTTTTAATTTTTGTTACTGGTTCTTTTTTTCTTCACATTATTTTTTCTTTTCTTTTTTCTTTTTTTTCCCCCAGAGATAGGATCTCAGGCTGGATTGCAGTGGTATGATCATAGTTCACTGCAAACTCAAGCTCCCAGACACGAGGAATCTTCCTGCCCCAGCCTTCCAAGTAGCTAGGACTACAGGCACACGCCACACCTGCTTCTTCTTTTTTTTTTTTTTTTTTTTGGTGTAAATGAGGTCTCAAATTCCTGGCCTCAAGTGATCCTCCTGCCTTAGCCTCCCAAAGTACTTGGAATTACAGGCATGAGCCACCACGCCTATCCTATGTCACACTATTTCTTAAGCAACCTATGTTATGAAAAAAATATGACATTACCATTGCTAGGAAGGTTAAGGCAGGAGGACTGCTTGAGCCCAGGAGTTTGAGGCTGCAGTGGGCTGTGATCCACTGTACTCCAGTCTGGACAACACAGTGAGACCCTGTCTTTTTTTGGTCAGACATTTATGGCTGCGTTATATCTTAATATCTGGCATGGATGTACTATCATTTATTTACCCATTTCCACATCACTGGACATCAATTGTCTGTGATTATTATTATTTTTGAGACAGAGTTTCAGTCTGTCACCCAGGCTGGAGTGCAACAATGTGATCCTGGCTCACTGCAACCTCTGCCTCCCAGGCTCAAGCGATTCTCATGCCTCAGCCTCCCAAGTGGCTGGGATTACAGGCACCCACAACCACGCCCAGCTAATTTTTGTTTGTTTATTTATTGAGACGGAGTCTCACTCTGTCATGCAGGCTGGAGTGCAGTGGCATTAGCTCATTGCAATCTCTGCCTCCTGGGTTCAAGCAATTCTCCTGCCTCAGTCCCCAAGTAGCTGGGACTACAGGTGTACACAACCACGACCAGCTAAATTTTTGTATTTTTAGTAGAGATGGGGTTTCAGTATGTTGGCCAGGCTGGTCTTGAATTCCTGACCTTAAGTAATTTGCCTGCCTCAGCCTTCCAAAGTGCTGGGATTACAGGCATGAGCCACCATGCCCAGTGATTTTAACTATTATAAATAATCCTATTTTTAAAAAATGTTCCCCATTTTTTCTTTCTTTTTAACCATCTAGGGAAAGATATATAGCACAAGGACTACAAAAATAGAGCTTCTGAACTTTTAAGGGCTCCTGATTTATACTGCAAAATTGCTTTACAGAAAGGTGACACTGATCCCAAGTCCTACTTGTGTCTGTCAGGATGTCAGTCTCACTACATCCCTGCCAATATTAGCTTTTCTTTAACATTGACTTTTTTTTTTTTTTTTTTTTGAGACAGTCTTTATCTGTTGCCCGAGCTGGAGTGCATTGGCGTACTCTTGGCTCACTGCAACCCCCACCTCCCGGGTTCAAGCGATTCTCCTGCCTCAGCTTCCTGAGTAGCTGAAATTACAGGTGTGTGCCACCACACCTGGCTAATTTTTGTATTTTCAGTAGAGACGGGGTTTCACCACATTGGCCAGGCTGGTCTCGAACTCCTGACCTCAAATGATTTGCCTTTCTCAGCCTTCCAAAGTGCTGGGATTACAAGCGTGAGCCACTGCACCAGGTGGTGTTAAACTATGGTGTTTAACAGCTGTATAACATTCCATCAGACACATGTCATTCATTGATTTGTCATTCACTGAGTTATACATTTAAGATGCAATTTTTAACCAGTAAGAAAAATGGTAGTAAGATCATCTGAAGGAAGGCTCCATAGGCTTGTCATATTTTAGATTATTTCATTAGGGTCAATTCTCAGAAGTGGGAGTACAAGGTGAAAGGTTTGTTTGAATATTAATAGAGCAACGGTACCTAAAAAAATTAGTATCACAAGTGTGTGACTCCTGCCTGACAGAGTGCTCTGAGGATAGGGCCACACCACACATCCATTGCTGTCTCCTTTTCTGGCGCTAGCACAGCTGTCAGGGAGTCTGTTTTCAGCATATCCACAATGAATTTATTTCCTTGAGCACCCTGCATTATTACTAGATACAAAGCCATCAAGAGTCAAAGGGCTACGAACTGCCCAGAGTAACAATGTGAGGAGCATGGCAGCAAGGAAAACACTAACATTAAAGGGAGAATGTTGGCAAGTAAATTTTATCTGTCTGCCAATTTGTAACGGAAATTAGTGTTCTACTTTCTAGAATATACTTTCCTTCAGAGGTAAATAATCAAACCGTGAACCAACCTTTGCACCACCACAGTTTATAGTTCAAAAGATGTAAACAATAGCCATCTGAGATAAAAGAAAATGACTCCTTTGGGAGAAAGCTGGGTGTACCTAAAGAGTGCACCCAGCACCCTTTTATAAAAGTTAATAAATTTTATCATTTTTATATTCATATAAAACATGAAAAATATAAAAATATATATTGTAGATATATCATATAAGAATAAAACTAGAAACTACCTGCACTATTCTGCATCTACTAAATGATTTCTAGAGGGACTCACACTACCAAACAAACGGTTTTCTCAATAGGAACAAGACCAGGGTCCTGCTCTCACTCAGGTCCCCACGGCCAGCAGTGAGCCCGGCATGGCGGAGGCCCTCAATCAGTATCTGCTCAGGAGGTGCAGAAGTATAGCCCGTTTGGGAAGGACTCAGTTTGATTTTAGAAGCAACATTTCTTATTTTTAGGGGTCATGCGTCTATTTGTGGACCATATACTCACTTCAGATTCCATTTAAACATTTCAAAATACTATCGGGTTCAAAATGTACATGCTTGTTTTATTATACACATCCCTCAATTATTTCTATTCTTTATCCAGTTCTTGTTTTTTTGGTTGTTGTTCGTTTTTGAGACAGTTTCACTCTGTTGCCTAGGCTGGAGTGCAGTGGCATGATTATGGCTCAATGTAACCTCAACCTCCCAAGCACAAATGATCTTCCTGCCTCAGCCTCCTGAGAAGCTGGGACCACAGGCATGTGCCACCACACCCAGCTAATTCTTCTGATTTTTGTAGAGATGAGGTCTTACTAGGTTGCCCAGACTGGTCTTGAACTCCTGGGCTCAAGGATCCTCCTGTGTTGGCCTTCCAAAGTATTGGGGTTATAGGTGTGAGCCACTGAGCCTGGTAAGCTCTTGTTTCTGATTCTGGTAATGACCTGTGGCATGGCAAGGGCTGGTTGTGAGGAGCCCTTTCCAGGCTGTCTGAAGACGGCTTACCAATGTTAACTGAATCTTCCCAGTCTTCCAGCACTTCAGTGACAATGAGCACATAGACATACGTCCTGTGCTTCCTCTCCTGGTTCTGAAGGGCAAAGAGAGAAGGACAGAGAGAGTTTTTCCTTAGAAAGCTGGAATTACTTAAATGAAACACACTCTTAAGCATATGTCCAGAGAGCTTAGACACAAAGATTCTAAACTTTTACTTTTTATGGTCCTACATGATTTAAAACAGGCCACACTTGAATTTGAGGGTGTGCTCTTTGCCTGGACTTCTAAAACCAAGTATTTATATTGTTTTTTCCTCCCCTTCCCCTAAACACAACTTCACAGGAATGCTGTGACTCCTTAAGAAAAAGGCATCATGTAAATTTAACTAGCTAGAACACCAGGGAAAGGACTGTCGATGGGTGGGCCACCACAGAGGTCTCAAACTTCAGTGACCCCAGCAAGGCAAACAAGCTGAGTGTGACACACACACACACACACACTCCCCCACCCACCCCTTTTCCCACTAACCCCACTTACCTATTTTTTTGAGAGAGGGCCTTATTTTGTCACCCAGAGTGGAGCGCAGTGGCATGATCATGGCTCACCTCAGCCTTGACCTTCCTGAGCTTAGGTGATCTTCTCACCTCAGCTTCCTGAGTAGCTGGTACAGGCACGCACTACCATGCCCGGCTAATTTTTGCATTTTTAGTAGAGACAGCGTTTCACCATGTTGGCTAGGCTCGTCTCAAACTCCTGACCTCAAGTGAGCTGCACACCTAGGCCACCCAAAATGCTGGGATTACCTATGTGAGCCACCATGCCCAGCCAATTTTTGTATTTTTTTTTGTAGAGACAGGATTTTACCATGTTGCCCAGGCTAGTCTTAAACGCCTAGGCTCAAGCGATCCTCCCATTTTGGCCTCCCAAAATGCTGGGATTACAGGCATGAGCCACAGTGCCCAGCCACCTTTTAAAAACTTTTATTCATTGCCAGGGGCGATGGCTCATGCTTATAATCCCAGCACTTTGGGAGGCCAAGGTAGGTGGATCACCTGAGGTCAGGAGTTCCAGACCAACCTGGCCACCATGGTGAAACCCTGTCTCTACTAAAAATACAAAAATTGGCCAGATGTGGTGGTGGGCACTTGTAATCTCAGCTACTTGGGAGACTGAGGCAGGAGAATCGCTTGAACCTAGGAGGCGGAGGTTGTGGTGAGCCGAGATCGTGCCATTGCATTACAGCCTGGGTGACAGAGCAAGACTCTGTCTCAAAAAAAAAAAAAAAAAATTATTTATTTACATATCTATTTTTTCATTAGAGATCTTTCTTCTGATATTTTTATTTTTAAAACTTTTTGTAGAGATAGAGTCTCACTCTCTTGCTCAGGTTGGTCTTGAACTTCCACCCTCAAGAGATTGTTGTGCATCAGCTTCCCAAAATGCTGGGATTACAGGGGTGAGCCACCATGCCCAGCATCTGCTCATCTTTATTTCTCCTGATTTCTCACTTTTTTTCCTGCCTTCTTTCAAATTTGTATCACAGCTTATTTCCTTGTTTTTCCTCTCTTTGTTATAGTTACTTATCTTCTATTTTTCTTGTCTCTCTACACTCAGCTACCCTTCCTCCTACCTTGGTAGGAGAGGAAGAAAGGTAGGAATGGGGTAAAATAATACTTAGAAATAATTCTAGTAGTTTAGAGGACAAGGCTATGGGATTTCTTTCTTTCTTTTTGTTTTAAAGCATGTTATCCTCTGTTGGTGCTGCTTTCTTTAAAAAACTAACCGAGGTTGGGCACGGTGGCTCACGCCTGTAATCCCAGCATTTTGGGAGGCTGAGGCAGGAGGATCGCTTAAGCGCAGGAGTTTGAGACCAACCTGGGCAACCTGGCAAGACCCTGTCTCTACAAAAAAATTTGAAAATTTAGAAGGCATGGTGGTGTGTTCCTGTAGTCTCACCTACTTGGGAGGCTGAAGCAGGAGATTGCTTGAACCCAGGAGTTCAAGGCTGCAGTGAGCTATGACTGTGCCACTGCACTCCAGCCTGGGCGACACAGTGAGACCTTGTCTCAAAAAGTTAAAAATAACTAAAAAAAAAACCCAAAAACTCGCTGAAACACAGATGGCATTTTTCCTATGTTAATATCTGTGTGGTTATTAATACATATCATTTGTACCAAAGATTTTAACAGACTTACCTCAAAAATTCCAACTAATCTTCCCAATGTCCCTTTTACTCCAGCCTGGAAAGTGAAAAGAATAATTAATGCACTGATAGTATTATATTGCTGGTCTCATTCTCAGTCTTCTTAAGCAGTTTATAAAATAGAAACAAAAAACAAGAGGACACAGCTTGGGCAGACTCCACACATCTGTGAAGTGATACCAGTGTTTCCTATGTGTCACAGACTGCTAACAGCAGTGTATGCTCTAGGAAGTTAGAATGCCTTTCATTTCTTCTGGTCTCTCTCTCTACTGCAAAGCTAGCTAAACCTAGCAAGATAATCAAGGCCATGAAGCCACCATACCAAAAATATTTTGAGGGATTGATTACTTCAGGTCAGGCACTGCCACTTTGGGAGGCTGAATTGGGAGGATCACTTGAGGATAAAAGTTCAAGATCCACTTGGGCAACATAGTGAGACCCTGCCTCTAAAAATTTGTTTTTAAATTAGCCAGTCATGGCAGCATGTGGCTACAGTCCCAGCTACTGGGGAGGCTGAGGTGAGAGGATCACCTGAGCCCAGGAGTTCAAGGTTGCAATGAGCTATGACTACACTACCGCACTCCAGCCTGGGTGACAAAGTGAGACCATTGTTTCAAAATTAATTAATTAATTAATTAATTGGTCAGCTACTATGGCTCACGCCTGTAATCCCAGCACTTTGGGAAACTGAGGCGGGTGGATCACTTAAGCTCAGGAGCTCAAGACTAGGCTGGGCAACATAGTGAAACCCTGTCTCCACAAAAAATACAAAAATTAGCTGGGTGTGATGGTGCACGGCTGTAGTCCCAGCTACTCGGGAGGCTGAGGTGGGAGGGTTGTTGGGTCCAGGAGGTGGAGGTTGCAGTGAGCCGAGATCACACCACTGCACTCCAGCCTGGGTGACAGAGCCAGACCCTGTCTCTAAATACATACATACACACACAGATTACTTCATTCACTTATTCATTCAACAAATATATACTAAATGTCTAATGTGAACCAGAAAACAGTGTATGTGCCAGAGGTATAACAATGAATCGGCTAGAATGCAAGATCCCATAAGATTAAGACCCTTGTCTGACTTGGCTGTCCGTATACAATATGCTGGAAGAGAGTTCAGCACCCTGCAAGAACTCAGGAAAGCCTAGATCAACAAGAACATAAACATGGTAATTCTGCTATGGGCAAGTATCATGACAGAAATACACAGAGTGATGTGATGACAAGAAGTGGCAGGGAGAGGGGCAACTTCAGTGGTCAGACCTTTTTCTTGAGTGGGGGGATGAAGTCTCACTCTGTTACCCAGGCTGGAGTGCAACCTCCGCCTCCCAGGTTCAAGCGATTCTCCTGCCTCAGCCTCCCAAGTAGCTGAGACTACAGGTGCCCGCCACCACGCCAGGCTAATTTATTTTTATTTTTATTTTGTATTTTGAGGAGAGATGGGGTTTCACCGTGTTGGCCAGGCTGATCTCGAACTCCTGACCTTGTGATCCACCCACCTCAGCCTCCCAAAGAGATGGGATTACAGGCGTGAGCCACCATGCCCGGCCTAGACCTTCTTAATATACACTTTTGTTTTTTTCTTTTCCTTTTCTGAGACAGAGTCTCACTCTGTCACCCAGGCTGCAGTGCAGTGGTGCAATCTTGGCTCACTGCAACCTCTGCTTCCAGGGTTCAAGCAATTCTACCACCTCAGCCTCCCAAGTAGCTGGGACTACAAGTGTGTGCCACCAAGCCCAGCTAATTTTTCTATTTTTGGTAGAGACAGGGTTTCACCATGTTGGCCAGGCTGGTCTTGAACTCCTGACCTCAGGTGATCCGCCCGCCTCACCATCTCAAGTAGCTGGGACTACAGTCGTATGCCACCACACCCAGCTAATCAAACAAATTTTTTTTTGTAGACAAGATCTTGTTGTGTTGCCCAGGCTAGTCTCAAACTCCTAGCCTCAAGTAATCTACCCACTGTGACCTCCCAAAGTACGGGAATAACAGTTGTGAGCCACTGTGCCTGGCCTGGATGACATATTTTGAAATTAATTTTTGCTAATTATCTGTCAATGAACTCTGTTCTTTTCTCTTGCCAACATGTCTGCTTTCTCTACCATTTTATATTCATCTACCCACGTGGCTTTTGGTCTACTTGAATGGAAATGTCTGCCTTTTCTTAAATAAGAAAATAGTAAGTTGCTTCTATTTTTAGAAATAACTGCCCTCCACAGTCAGCTAAAACTAGCTAGCTTATACTTCATGAATTAACCAATGAAGCTGCCTGACAAGTGGGACAAGCTGCCAGGCCAGCCTGAGTTGGAAAGCCATTTCTGTACTCTGATCCCAGGCAGCCTGAACACACTCCGCTCATCTCCTGAGACATGTCACCTGTGCTCCTGCCACAAGCCTCCACTGAGGGTCTGGGAGGAGAGCTGTTGGGGCAGATGAGGGCCTTGGGGGACAGAGGTAAGAAAAAAAATTTCTTTTTTTTTTTAAAAACTCTTGTCGCCCAGGCTGGAGTGCAGTGGTGCGATCTCGGCTCACTACAACCTCTGTCTCCCAGGTTCAAGCGGTTCTCTTGCCTCAGCCTCCCAAGTAGCTGGGACTACAGGTGCATTACAGGTGCACACCACCACACCCAGCTAATTTAAAAAAATATATTTTTAGTAGAGACAGGGTTTCACCATATTGGCTAGGCTGGCCTTGAACTCCTGGCCTCATGATCTGCCCGCCTCGGCCTCCCAAAGTGCAGGGATTACAGGCGTGAGCCACTGCACCCGGCCCGAGAAAAGATTTAAGAGGCCATCATTCACCTTTCTCCTCCGCAAAGGAGAGAGAGAGAAAGCATTCTCTTTAGCAGCTACTATCCAATTATTTTTTTCTTAAACTAGAAGTTTATAAAACAATCTCCAGGCTGGGCGCGGTGGCTCAAGCCTGTAATCCCAGCACTTTGGGAGGCCGAGATGGGCGGTGGGCACCTGTAGTCCCAGCTACTCGGGAGGCTAAGGCAGGAGAATGGCGTGAACCCGGGAGGCGGAGCTTGCAGTGAGCCCAGATTGCGCCACTGCACTCCAGCCTAGGCGACGGAGCGAGACTCTGTCTCAAAAAAAAAAAAAAAAAAAGATCTCCAAACTTTTAGGGCACATATCAACTTAGTATTATGACAACTCAATATAATTCATTTAAAACCTTTGTTTGGCTGGGCACGGTGGCTCAAGCCTATAATCCCAGCACTTTGGGAGGCCGAGGCAGGTGGACTGCTTGAGACCAATAATTCGAGACCAGCCTGAGCAATAAGGTGAAACCCCATCTCTACAAAATACAAAAAATTAGCTGGGCATGGTGGCACATGCCTATAGTCCCAGCTACTCAGGAGGCTGAGGTGGGAGGATCACCCAAGTTCAGAAAGTCAAGGCTGCAGTAAGCCACGATCGCACCACCGCACTCCAGCCTGGGCAACAGAGACACCTTGTCTCAAAAAAACAAAACAAAATAACTTCAAAACACAAAACTTTCGTTTAGTAATAGTACCTCTGCATTTGACACCAACATGTGTCTATGATTCACTCTGTGTCAGATGCAGTTAAGAAAAATGTAGCCGGGCGCAGTGGCTCAAGCCTGTAATCCCAGCACTTTGGGAGGCTGAGACGGGCGGATCACGAGGTCAGGAGATCGAGACCATTCTGGCTAACACGGTGAAACCCCGTCTCTACTAAAAAATACAAAAAACTAGCCGGGCGAAGTGGTGGGCGCCTGTAGTGCCAGCTACTCGGGAGGCTGAGGCAGGAGAATGGCTAAACTCGGGAGGCAGAGCTTGCAGTGAGCTGAGATCCGGCCACTGCACGCCAGCCTGGGTGACAGAGCGAGACTCCATCTCAAAAAAAAAAAAAAAAAAAAAAGGAAAATGTAAAAAAAGTACCTACCTGAAATAGACACAAATGTGTAAAATCTAGTGTAAGTCAAATTATGCTGCCATTTGTGCATCAACATTTCAGTGGTATTTTTCACTTCCAATTAGTCTTCCAACTTGTAGAATGTAGAAAGTAATGATACTTGTTTGTTTAAAGAGGTGGTGTCTATGTTGCCCAGGCTGGCCTCAAACTCCTGGGATCAAGCAATTCTCCTGCCTCAGCCTCCTGAGTAGTTGGGATTACAGATACATGCCACCACACAGGGCTAAAGATATTTTTTATTTGTCCCTTAGCCTTTCTTTCATAGTATTTATGGGATCTAATTAGCAGAATCTATTTAATGTGATCTTACCAATAATTCTATACCATAAAGCAAATAAATATTTCTCTATTTACCAATTTTAGAAATTGGAATTCAGCATTTTTCTCAGGAAGAGGTTCCCCCTTTAGTAAAAGGATTTCAGTTCTTTAAGGTCATAGTGCTGACAAAAAAGAAAACTTTCTCACAGGCAAAGGTTCTCCCAGTTTACCTTAGCTATCTTACTTTTTCACAATTTTCCCAGACTCAGAGTCCAACTTTCATCTCCTAGTTTTTTCCCAAATGCTGCCACAAGCAATCTGAGAGTGAGTTATTTTTATCTGTCACATGATTCCTGCATGCAGGTCGGGATGTGTGTCAGGGCCACATCTGACAGATACTTGGCTCACACATTTGGGGATAAGATTAAATTCAGGGATATATTAAATTCGGTTCCATAAGGATGCTGGTATGGATCTGTCTTTTGCAAAATCATATGAAAGCAGTTACAATTTCAATCTATATGTCAAAAACCACTAATCTGGAGAAGGAGTCTTTATTTAAAAGTCCATCTTAGTAGAGATAGTTCTTTCACCCTTTTCTAGTACTTTAGGCCTGGTTAACAAAAATAATCTGAACAATTGCCTACCGTTTCTCTTTTTTTTAAGACACAGGGTCTCAGTCTCTCACCCAGGCTAGGGCGCATGGTCATAGCTCACTGCAGCCTTGAACTCCTGGGCTCAAGTGATCCTCCTGTCTTAGCCTCCCAAGTAGCTGGGGCTACAGGCATGTGTCACTACAACCGATACTTTCTTAATTTTTTTTTTTTTTTTGGTAAGG